TGCACCCTCTCCATTGCAGTCACATCCTTCCTATAGTTTGTACTCCAGCAGCGGCCTAACCAGAGTCCTCAAAAAATTCAATCAAAATAATTAGGCATGTTCTCTGTCTGACAAAGTCATGCAGAATATCCCTGATCAAACCTTACCTCTCTAAATCAAAGTTAACTATCTCCTTCACTATTTTCTCCAATTGCTTCCTTATCACTGACATGAGACTCTCTGGTCTATCGCTACCAGCTTTCTTGTGAAGTAGAATCATATTAGCTCTTCTCTAGTCCTCTGACACCTTTTCTGTAGCCAGAGACAATTTAAAAAATTCGGACTATTTCGTGTCTCACCTCCCACAGCAACCAACTCACCCAGGCCTAGGAATTTGTCCACTGTTAAACCTGCCAAAACCTCCAATGCCTCCTCACGTCTTATATCAATTTGCTCCAAAACTCCACAGTCCATCTTCGCAAATTCTGTACCTACATCCTTCTTCTCCTCAGTGAAGACCATTGTGAAGTACTGGTTTTACACGCTTACCAATGTCCTCCAGCTTCATGCACAGATTGCCCCCTTGCTTCCTAACAGGCCCTACTCTTTCCCTGGTTATTCTCTTCCTCTTGATATACTTGTAGAATATTTTGGGATTCTCCCTAACCTTGTCTGCCAGGGATTTTTCATGCCCCTCCCTGTTCTCTTAATTGCTTTCTTGAGTTCTCCCCCGCACTCCATGCCCTCCTTTGGTTTGTTCCCTTTTTTATCTGTTACATGTCTGTCTTTTTGTCCAGTCCTGAATATTCCTTGATATCCGCGTTCTTCTGGGCTTGTTACCCCTACATTTCACCCCAAAGGGAACATGTTGGGCCCGTGCTCTCCCCAGTACCTTTCCGAATACCTCCCACTGTACTGCTGTAGATCTACCCTCGAGTAGGTGTTCCCAGTATGACTTTGGCCAGATCCTGCATTATTTTAATAAAATTTGCTTTCCCCCAATCCACAACTCTTTTTTTGTAGAGTATCTTCTCCTTTTCCATACCAACTTAAAATGTACGGTGTTGTGGTCGCTATCAATAAAATGCTCCCTCACTGTCACTTTAAACATTTGTACAGTTTTGTTCCCCACAATTAGGTTGAGTACTGCACCAACCCTTTTAGGACCATCTGCACATCAATTAAGAAAGCTCTTCAGTTTATATCAAGAAATCTGCTCCCTCTAAACCCTTTATACTGTGATTGTGCCAATTAATATTGGGGTAATTTAAATCCCCTGCTATAATTACTCCATTATTAACTTTACACACCTTAGTAAATTGACTACATACTTGCTACCCGCTGACTGTCTGGGGGCTCTAAAATACACTCCCAGCAACGTGACTGCACTCAAATTACTAAGATCTATCCACAAAGCCTCAATTGACAACCCTTCCAAGATATCATCTCTCCTTACTGCAGCAACTGGCTCCATAACTAATAATGCAACACTTCCTCCACTTGTGCACCCTCCCTTAAGTTCCAACAGCATCCTCGAGGCCATCCTGCCTTGCCTTACTCCCTGATGACACCACATGGCTGAACTCACTCTGCCTTGGTTCCTTTTCTAAGTTACACTGTGCTGCTATTGAAGTAATGCACTGTGTCCCTTGCCCCTGCCAAACTAGTTTGAACTCTTCCCAACAGCACTAGCAAACCCTCCCGCAGATGCAGACTGTCCTGCTTCTAGAGATCCTACTGTCCCCAGAAATGATCCCGGTAATCCAGGGATCTAAAAACCTTTTTGCTGCACCAACTCTTGAGCCACGCTTTCATCTGCCATAATCTCCTATTTCTGTGCTTGCTGGCACGTGGCACCTGCGATTAAAACCTTTGAGGGCCTGCTTCTTAACCTATTGCCTAGCTCTCTGAACCCTTGATGCAAGTTCATGTTTGGACCAAGGCTGGAATGATGTCAGAAACAGATTGGTCCTGACTATGCAAATGCAAATGCAAATGAATCTGCTAATGCAAATGAATCTTTAACATCCACGGTACTCTCTGGTCAAGCCAATGGGCTTCAATTTAAAGTCTTTCAGCACCTTCTGTAATTTAAGGATCTCTCAGTACTCTTGTGTCAGTCTAAGTTAAACACTGAGGTCCTGGAATAGGGAGGAAGACCGCTATCCTCTGACAGAGAGCGGAGCATACTCTGAATCATAATGTGACCATATTTGGTAGCTGTACTAAACTACTGTTTCTATTCAGTTGGAAAACATGCTGCAGCATTTGACCTTGAAGAGAAACACTTCAGTTATTTGATACATATTTATAGTTTAAATAGGAAATTCCTACGGATGACCTGTGACCTGGGAGGCTTAAGAGGTAAGGAAGATGATTTTAAATATTCCTGGCAAAGGGAGAGATAGTAAGGCCTGCTGTGCACAATACATCACATAGCTATGCAATTAGGGAAAGTTCATCACTGTGATCATTGGGAAGACTGTGTTATAAATCAGCTTGGTAGCATAATAGCTCTGATTTTATCTCGTCTTCATCCCATATCTTATTGTATCTGTCTTATCTTCATCCTTTTGTAACAACTGAATGAAAGCAAATTACGTCTTAATAAAATGTTGCCTTTGAAAAAGTAGCCGTGTATTTTTAGGAGCTCCCCTCCCCGCGAAGGGAATGCTCCTGCGAAATTTTAACAATAACTTTGAACAGGAAGGTGTAGGGCTGGATTTTCACTGCTCAGGCAAGTATCTCGAGCTGGAAAATCACCTGAATCGCCAAACCCCCTGGGAGAAAGGCCCCAAAACCACGTGATATATCTAATCATAAAATAGATAGAAACTAGGGTCAGAAGAATGCCATTTGGTTCTTTGAGCCTCCACCTCAATGCAATACCATCATGGCTGACCCTCTGTCTCTAAGCCATATCGATGTTTTCTCCTGATACCCTTCGATGCCTTTAAAAACTAAAGGTTTATCTCTTTCTTAAACATATTCAGTTATGTATTCTTCACAGCATTCTGTGGTAGAGAATTCCACGGGTTCACTGCTCCTTCTCAAAGAAATATTTTCTCATCTCAGTCCAAAATAGTCTACCCTGTATCCTGAGGCTGTCTTCACTGGTTCTAGACTCCCCAGCTTGGGAAAACATCCTTCCTGCTTCGAGTCTGTCCAGCCCTGTCAGAATTTTATACGTTTCAATCGGATTCCCTCTCATCCGTCTAATCTCTGGAGAATGTAGGCCAGTTTGAACCAATCTCTTCTCAAAAGACAGTCCTGCCATCTCAAGTATTGGCCCAGTGAACCACTGACCCTTTGTGACAAATATTTCCTTTCTAGGCAAGGACACCAAAACTGCATGCAGTACTTCAGGTGTAGTCTTTCAAAGGCCTATATAACTGCATTAAAACATCCCTACATCTGAACTCAAATCCTCTTGCAATGAAGGCCAATGTAATGATTTGTTAAACCTGCCTATCCACTTTCATTGACTAGTGCACAATAACATCCAAATGTAGTTCTTCATTTCCCAATATATTATTGAAATAATATATTGGAATAATACTCTACCTAAAGTGTATAATTTCACATTTAGCCATGTTGTACTTCATCTGCCATGTGTTTGCTCACTCACTCAGCTTGCCTAACTTTGAATCTTCCTTGCATCCTCCCCACCCAGTTTTCTGTCATGAATCTAGTAATTTTATTCCTGACAACAAACCTTAATTAAAGCAGCTCTTTCTCCCTCTGGCCTGGGATTTCCACTTTGCTGCAAATTTCCAGTTACTGACCCTGACTCAGTCTTATTCCAGCAAAGTCTCCCTCACTCTGTGCAGCTAACTCTGACCATGCACTTTCAGCAAGCTCTTCTTCTATAGAGAGTTCCGACGAGACACTTGTCTTCTCTAACTTACTACTACAGTAATCAACATCTAATTCAGGCAAGGAATATCAGCCGTTTGATAGGGAAGTGCCACTCATAAGCAAGACTTCACTACTCCAGTGTTCCAATCCTTTTGCAACAGAGGTTAACATTCCATTAGCCTTCCTGATAGCTTGTAGTTACCTGCATGTTAGCCTTCAGTGACTTATCAACAAAGATACCCAAGTTCCTTTGTACATCTACACTTTCCAACCTCTTACCATTTGGGAAATATACTGCACATCTGTTTTTTCTACCAAAGCGAACAACCGCACATTTTTCCACATTATATTCCATCTGTTTTATTCTTACCCATCCATAACCTGAACAAATCCTCCTGAAAACATTTTACATCTTCCTCGCAAATCACAATACACAATCCAGTTTAGCTTAGCTTCTGCAAATTTGAGCAAATTACATTTGGTCCCCACATTCAAAACATTGATAATACATTGTAAACAGCTGGGATCCAAGTATTGATCCTTGTAGTACCTCACTATTCACAGGCTGCAAAGCTAACTCATGCCAACATATCCAGAATTCACCCTGAGCAAATCTTAGGAGCTGTGAAATAAGGTTCTAAAAATCCAATACAACTCTTCCTGTATAGACTTGATAGTTTTTAAAAAAAATCTTTGATTCATGGAAAGATGCTACATACCTGACTTGACAAAGCAGTACAGCAAAGTTCTTTTTTATTCAAATGGGAATAAGCAGCCTGTTCGTCACAATTTTAAAGGGCTGGGGATTTAAATAATTTCAGATCATGATGGTTAAAAAGACTTATCCACTCTATTTTCTGCAGAAAGGGAGGTGATAATGGGTTCAATTGTGACTGCTAAGCAGTGAGTTACAAATCACCCATGCAGTTACAATTGGTGTGAGGCATGGAAAGAGAAATGCAGGAAAAAATTGAAAACTAAATAAAGATAATTGTTCCATTTCTCCATATTTTGTAGTTATTACAAACATGTATTTCAGGAACAAAATCAGAAATCGCTGGCAAAACTCAGCTGGTCTGGCAGCGTCTGTGGACAGAAAACAAGAGTTAATCTTTCAGGTCCAGGGACCCTTCGTCAGAACACACATTTCAGGCAATACTTACCTCAACTTGCTCATTTGTACTTCTCCTTAAGGCCTCTTCAAATCGTTTTGCTTTGTCCTTCAGTGAATGATTCTGAAATGTTAACGTGTCAACTTGATCCTTGAATATAGAAAAACAAAATCAAAATGTTATCTTTGGAAATTTGATCTAAATAATTATATTTTGAAGCAGCGATTGCGAGCCCTCTGATAGCAATAGGATGTCAATTGCTATTTTTGGATTGAATTGGCTGGAATATGTGCTGTGCAGTCTTTGACAGCTACCACCCTGTGGCCCAGTTAAACAAGTGAATTGCATAGCATGGAAAATGGCAATAAAAGCTTGCTCAGAAAATGTGTGCAAATGTCATTACTTTATGTTTCTCGAGATACCAGCAAATCTTTTCCTCATACAGAATCATGTCTCAAATACAGTAAACTTTTTACTACCCAGCACCAGTGGGACCTAGAGTGTGCCAACTAATCAAATATTGGGAATAATAAAGAGGTCCACATAATCTAAAAACACGCAGTAAGTAATAGAAACATATTACAGGGGATATACACATCACTGTTATACTTCATTTACTACATAAATCACTTAAATAATAATGCAACTTTGCCTTAAGTAAGACTTACTGGCAGACAGCCTTCTCACTTGCATGCTCAACCGACTACTCGGAGATTGTGGTATTTGAGGAGAAATTGACTTGAAATTGAATCGAAATTGAATCAACTGTTGATATCTCATGTGGTCATTCAATTGAATAACAAGTATATTTGCATTGTGGTAAATAAATTAAAAACTTTAATAATTGGACTGTGAGAGGAAACCGGAGGACTCGGAGGAAACCCCCACAGACACTGGGAGAACATGGAAAATACACACAGACAGTGGCCTGAGGATCAAACCCTGGTCCCTGATACTGTGAGGCAAGTGTTACCCTTGGATAGGGTTTAAGGAACATCTTAAAGGAAGAGAGAAAGTTATACAGTGGTTTACCATCACAAATGATGTACTGTGTATTCTCAGGAGCCCAGACATCAATTATTCTGTTAAAACCTCTGAACCCCTGCTTGGTTGACAGCTCCGTATGTCCAATTATTATCATCAATTTCAGACCATTTATTCACGAGAGAATAAGAGGCTTCAAGTGCATGCAATTTCAGCTACAGAAACTTTAAAGGATTTGCATGATTGATATTTTTATTGTCCTGTTGTAGAAAGATTTTAATAAATAGCTGTTTCTTAAAGCTGTTTTTATATGTCCTGTTGTCAATATAGGGCACATTGCTTGTCTACAATGTATAGTGAATGATTCACCTGTTAAGTGTCATAGTTGGGCCTGGGGCACATAGAGGATATGGGAGCTGTTTTCGGGGGGGGTCATACCTGGCCATACGCAGGAGAAGCCATGGGGATGTTGGGTACAAAGGGGTATGAGGGATGTTGGAGGATGGTTTGGATGGGGGTAGGGGAACCTGGTGGCACTGGCAATGAGAAGTTGTGGGATGGAGGGCCTTTCGGTTTCTTTTCCCACTGGCATGAAGTCCCACAGCTTTTTAAACTCTGCATCCAGCAGCTTCGGCTTAGCCTCTAAACCTGCCTACACATCACCAACACCCCAGCCAGTACTCAGTATTGTGCTTCTGAAACTCAGATATCCCAAAGTAGTCATGCAAAGCTGAGAAATTCCCAACTCCTGCTACCTGTCTTGGGGATGACGATCCAGCCCATTGATTAAGGTTGTGAGTGAATAGCTGACTCTTGTACCGTTGCCAATGCTTGGGACAAGCACCAGCCCATGTGCAAGTAACATCCAGAACTACCCGGTGCTCTAAAGTTTACTTTCCTCCCTTTTCCTCACCTTTACCGATGCCGTGTTAAAATAAGGAAATCGCAGGGTACAGCATGTACGCACAAATCTACAATTAGATAATAAAGCACACGGAGTGTGACTATCTGTACATTTTGTGCATTCCAAGGGTTTTCATCTTCAAGATAAAAAGGTTTCAGGAACAAAAAGAAACCTGGGTTCTACTTGTCACAGAATCGCACACAGATTACAAAATGACTTTTACCATCCAGTTCTTTGTAAACATGAGATTTTTTTTCTCAGAAACTTAGCCCCTAATTATTAGATAAAACTTACACAAACAAACATGGTTTCTATATATGGCCATTCTGCATACTAAAGTTTTTGATCTTACTAACCTGAAGAGAAAGTCTTAGTTTTTCAAACTCTTCTTCCAATGCCGATCTCTCCAATTCATGGATGGCTTTTAGCTCTGAAAGAAAAATGCTGCAAGTGAAATCCCACTGAACAAATGCTTTTGAAAAGGTCTAATTTCCTTAAGTGAGGATGAATGAGGAACTAATGAGAAAAAAAAACTTGATTGATTGTTTACAACAAAAGGAATTATTTGGTCTCTCCACTGCCCCAGTCATGCTGGAAAGGAGGCATCAGAGATTAATTTATTTATAAAGGAAACCTCTGCGAAATAGCCACCAGAGACTCACCCAACAATGTTTTCAAATGGCTCATGAAATGGGCATCTATACTCCAATGCAAAACAAAAAGATAGGCCTTTAAATAGGTTTGTATCCAGCTCCTTTTATTTACATCAGATCCAGATGAATCTTTGGTGCTTGACTGATTGGAGCAAGTTCTCTGTGTAACCCACCCCAGTGAACTGACAGTTTAGCCAAATTTGCAGACCTTAAAGGAACTGATGATGCACAACATGCCAAATACAGTCAGTCAATCACCTTTTTACATTGTTATGCTTTAATGTTGATCATACACTGGGGCCTATATTTTCTTTTAGTATCAAGAATTTTGTTTCAAATTTGTTTTGTGCTCTTCAGATGTAGGGCCTTATGATGCAAATGGTGCCATTATGAGGGCCTCTCCCCCTCCCTAACACACTCTCTCACTGTTCATCCATGGCTCGTAAGCTTTCCCCCTCACAACCACACCCTGTCACTGCTCACTCTCTGCTCATAGCTTTATTTCACCCTTTCCTAAAGCAGTCTTTCACTGCTCACTGTCCAGCTCTGGTCACTAGCACTTCCTGACTCTCCCACTCACTGGTGTTTTCTCTTGGTGAACCACCCACTCACTGATTTTTCTCCATGCCCTCTCTGTTTCCTGAGCCCCAGCTGTGAGTGGGAGCCCTGGGGATAAGCAGGAGGAGCAACTTTGACTGGAGCTGTTGGAACCCAATCTGAGTGTTGGTCTTACACTACATGGGCATCTCTTTCCCATAAATGAAGGAAAAACAGCCCTTTTTGATAAACACTGACACAAGCAAATCCACAGATATTTCTGAAAGAGCGGAGGGCAGTGGTGGGGGGGTGGGGGGGAGGTGGGGGGGGACGACAGTGTTGGGCACTGTCACTGGGGCAGTAGTGCAGGGCAATGTTTTGTGGATATGGACACAAATCCATTATAGCAGCGGCTGGCATTTAAATTTAATTAATACATCTGAAACATAAATCTAGTGAACATGACACTATCATCAGATGTAAAAACTCATCTGCTTCACACAGGTCCTTTATGGAAGGAATGCTGCTATCCTGTTCTGACATACAGGTGACTGCAGACCCACAGCAGTGCGATTAATGTTTTATTACTGCCTGGAATAGTCCAGCAAGCAGCTTGTTTTAAGAAGAATCAGGGGTGGACAACAAATGCTGGTCTTGCCAATGACGCCCACATCCAATGAAAGAATAAATTATAAAAAACCTAATTGGTGTATTATTGCTTATCTTCTCCAACATAAACCAATAATACTCCAATATATACTCATTGATGCTGTTCAATACCTTTCTTTTAAGACAGTAATTGTTCCTCCTAACATTGTGGGTATTGGCACCAACTGGTGTCAGACTAAGCTTTTCTAACCAGAACATTTTTGGTTTAATTCTTGATATGTAGCAAGTTTGCTGATCTCAGCCAAGACAGCACCAGATGGGTTCCTACAACTAGACCCACTCGCCTTTTACTAAAGAAGGAACAAATATTCTAGGAGTGAAGGCAAACCCTTTCTCCCATTAAGCATTTTGGTGAATCTACGGTCCACTTCTTTCCAAGATTAGTATATCATTTCTTGATACCCAGAAGCGTATCTAGCATTGCAGAATTTGTTGAGCCTATCAGGTGGAGCTCTGATGCAGAAGAATGTCCAACAGGAATTAAGTAGTGTGTGATAGGGACCAGTCAAACATTTGGAAGGTAAAGGGGGACATATATTGCCTTTTCAATGTGAAGGCAAGTATTCAGTCATCCATGTTCAGTGCCATATCTGAAGCTGAGCTGCAAACAAGGAACTGGCTCTCACCCTGTGACACTCGATTGTTTTCACAGACAACATGGCCCAGAGGGAAATAAAACTTGCTCGCTGTTTTGCAGAAAGTGTGGAGGCCCTAATGGACACAGTGTTGGAGAGGAGGACAGTCCTTGTTCCTGCAGATCATCACAGGAGGCCTGCCATCAGACCAAGGCAGCATGGAACCCACACTGCAGCCTAGCTCAGTGCCCTGTCCTGGGTGAATGAGGGGACGCCAGTCATTCCAAGAAGGAGGTCAATAACCTTTAGTATTCTGCAAGTGATAATTGCCATCAAGCCACACGTTAGTAGCCTGTAATTAAGTACTTGAGTAATGAGATACAAAGCAATGTGAACCATATAGGAACAGGCAGTCTGTAAGTCAGTCTTGAAGTCAATAAGTGTGCACTAAGAAAGCACTGAATTATACATCAGCTGGCACCCTCCAAGTAAGCACAAAGTGAATGAGCACCAAGAAACAAGCTAAGAGCTGTAAGATGCAGCCTATACAAATGTACAAGATGCATATGTATCTGTGCACACAGTGAGCTGGCAGAAACACTCACATCATAGGTGTTCCTGAGCTCCAAACTGATGGGTGAGTTGGTCTGACAGTAGTCATGATGACGTGATGAAACAGGTGATTTGCCAGAGCCGACAGGCGCAGATGAAGGATGGAGAGGGATGGTGGCCAGGGGCAGGCAGGGAGATTGGGGTGAAGAAGCAGTTACATGGTGGTCAGGACAGGTATTCAGTGAGCTGCAGCTGCCAGGTCCCCATTGCATTGGCAAATTGTCTCATCTAGCTTGTTGTAGAGGAGAGGAGAATTGGAAGTGGTGTAGAAATTAGGCAAGTTAGAGCTTTTAAGGGATGCAAATGCATGGAAATAAGCATGTTACTGCTCAATGGCAAGTCACCATTTAACACCTGAGGGGAAAAGTCTCCAAAATATTTCTTGACATCAAGATTCAGATTTTTCCTTTCTCCCCAGATTTTCCCACCTTGCCTAACATTGCCCATGCCACACGAGGTCATTCCCAAATTCTATCCAAAATATTACTTGCAGAATGTTGGACTTCTTTACAACAAGTCTTATTCATGCTTCTTTCAACAACTGCTTACTGCATATTTCTCAGGTTATTTTCTTTACTCTTTTATACAAGTAATATGTCACACAGCAAGTTTATTTTTATATCAATCATTTGGATTACCTTCAATTTTCTTTTCATGTTCGTCTTGCAGAATAGTTATTGTAACAGTCTGATTGTTCTCCATTTCTGTGATGGCACTGTTATGGGCAGCTGCCAAATCTTCCATCTGATAGAACACAATAACACAACAACTGGTGAACAATTCCCCTCCAAAGTCCCAAATGTGACTATCTAAACTGGTTTTCACAGCAACACAGTTCCTCTTACACTTACAACAAAACAGTTTTTGCTGATTTGTGATATAAACATAACAACAGCTCATATTGGAACATTAGAGTGTAAAAATTTCTGCTATAATGAGCTAAATGTCTGAAGCTGCAAATGTTTTATTGGAGATGACCCAATATGATAATTTAATGACACACCAATTGTGACAAAAATATTATGATTGCAACTTTGCCACAAATGTGCATTGATTTGTTGGAAACAACAGAAATATTGAATATGTGATGGTGGGGCTACATGGTGTGGGTTATTAGTAAACCAACAGTTTAACTTTAGCGGCTGGGTTTCAATAAAGCCCAGGCTGATCAGACAAAAGTCTCCTATCATCTCTGACTTTTAAGAAAAGGTGGCAAGCCACTGTGCAGAATTAAATGGATAACAATGCCAGTCACTATTAAAATGGTGTGAGTTTTGGAAGTTTTACTGTAAAACAATGAAATTATGTATTTGAGATTAAGCGTAAAGTACATTATTAGGGAAGAAAATTGAGACATTTACTTTGCATCTAACTTGTCTTATTACGGCCTTGGGAATAGTGCTCTTCTCTAATCATGATGAGATGAAAATTGCTTCACAATTGACTTTCTTATTTATAAAGACACATTTAAACCAGATGAATTTCGATACTTTCTTAAATTTTGCATGTATTTTTCATCTGCCATTTTGGTAGTCAACAGTGAATGAGATATTCTAATATTTGAGGCTAAAAGAGCTTAATAAAATTATGCTTCATTTCAGTATGGCAGCTTCAAGTTAGCAGCTATTTGTGACAATGATACAAAGTACTAAAGATATAAATAAATAAATTTTTATATTAACACCATCTCTCTATATAAAATTGAATCCATAGAGAAGATGAATAAATGATTTATTTCATTTGTAAAGAATATCTTCAGAATTCACCCATGTCTGGGAGCTGTTATAGCTTTGTAAAAGAAGATATAAACCTGGTAACACATTGGTTCATATTGTCCACCACCTCTTCCTATTTCCTGCAACATAATGATTTCGTCCCACTCTCATAAGAACACCATTTGCTTTACTGGTTTGATGTTCTTACAGTAATTGTATGACAATAGCCAATTAGTGTGAATTTACAGATAACAAGTTTGCCTAATACTGCTTAGATCCTTGTTCAGGTGATCCAATGTAATCATAGACACAACGCTCAACAGGTATGAAGAAAAAGAAAGCAGAGTCTAGGCTGAAATTAAGTGTAGTTTTTTTTGCCTCCAAGGACAACGCACCTCAAAATATACCAGCTACGTGTCAAAGAATACAAGCTTAGGCTCATGTATAACTCCGCTGAAGCATGTGAGGTGAGGATATGTAACCTCCTTCAAATTTCCAGGTGTGGGGTTGGGGTGGGGGGCACTCTGAGAAGCCTATCATTCTTCCAGGTTTGTGTACTGATTGTAATGAGGTCAGCCAGATGCACCTCATAGAATATGAGTTCCTGGATTGGGGCTGTTAACTTGGTCTAATCAAGGAGCCGAGGCTGACAGATACAAACAGGAGTGTCAGAGGTTCTGTTCACTCTGAGAACTGGCTCTGGGGTAGCTGGATCTCTGCTGTAGGAAGGATGTTGTGAAACTTGAAAGCGATCAGAAAAGATTTACAAGGATGTTGCCAGGGTTGGAGGGTTTGAGCTATAAAGGAGAGGCTGAATAACCTGGGGCTATTTTCCCTGAAGCATCAGAGGTTTACAGAAGTTTACAAGGTTCATCAGGGGCATAGATAGGGTGAATAGCCAAGGTCTTTTCTCCAGGGTAGTGAAGTCCAAAACTAGAGGGCATAGGTTTAAGGTGAGAGGGGAAAGATTGAAAAGGTACCTAAGGGACAACTTTTTCATGCAGATAGTGGTGCATGTATGGAATCAGCTGCCAGAGGAAGTGGTGGAAGGTGGTACAATTATGACATTTAAAAGGCATCTGGATGGGTATATGAATCGGAAGGGTTTAGAAGGATATGGGCCAAATGCTGGCAAATGGGACTAGATTAATTTACAATATCTGGTCAGCATGGATGAGTTGGACGGAAGGGTCTGTTTCCATGCTGTACAGCTCTATGGCTCTCCAGGGTGCCTTGGTGACAGTATACCGGCCTCTGTTGAGTTATTTCAGTGGCGATGAGAGCACAGCATGCTTCTGAAGAAATTCGCTTGCAACAGTAGTCTTTTAATTGGGTGAAGAATTTCTGGCATCATGCCATAACTTGTGAAGTTTGACCTGTTTTATCCTGCCGTCAAAGAATGGGTCTTTGACACTTCAATGACACTGGGGTAGATGAAAAGCAACAAGTAATTCTCCTGACAGCTTGTGGACCTGCAGCTTTTTCAGTTATTAGGAGCCTAACTTTCCCTGAGGCACCAGATACTAAAACCTTCCAAGAATTGACAGGTTTAGTTAAAGAGTATTATGAACCCCAAGCCTCCACTAATTCTGAGATGCTTATCAGTTTTATTTGGTAATTCAAGAACCAGGAGAATCTGTATAGGGGTTTTTGACTAGGTTTAGATAACTGGCAGAGGCTTGTCACTTTGTTTACCCTTAATGAGATGCTGAGAGACATTTGTACTAATGATGTAACCATTCAAAAGCGCCTTATAGCTGAAACCCAACTGGGCTTCAAACAGGTGCTACAACTGGCTTTATCACTGGAAAATGCAGCAAGTGAAGCATATGAGTTACCGAGTATTCTGATGGAAATGGACACCCACGCCAGTCCAACAGAGCTTGGGGTACACTGCTTGAGTGAAAGCAATTGCATAGCCTCACTCAGGACATATCCTGGACAGAGGGACTCTAGATCAGCCCATGGTAAAACCCCACAACAAAGCCAAACCTCAGCCAGACAGTTACAATTTTCTTCAGGATCTGGGCTACCAGGCCATTGTCATTGCTGTCAGTGTGCAGACTCGAGACAGCAAAAGAGTCCCATTAGATCCAAATTGAGTAAGAAAACGCATAGGCCAGTATCCAGGAGAGTGCACACACTGGAAACTCCACCAACATCTGGTTTGGAACAGTTAAATTGCTTAGCAACATCCAAATCAGAACCAATCAAAATAAACGTCTGGTTAAATGGTCACCCAGTTCTCATGGAGGTCGATACCAGCGGGGCTGTTTCAATGATCACAGAACCAGTCTTTAACCAAATTCAGTCTGTACTCCAACCTCTACGTTGGCACAAGGCCTCGGCTGGACTGAAAACCAAAGCTGGGGAACCTTTATAGGTAAAGGGTGCAACTTTGGTTCTGGTCTCTTATGAGAAGCAACTGGTTCAGCTCCCATTGATTGTAGTAAAAGGCTCAGACCCAAGCTTTATGGAGTGAAATTGGCTGCCTGACTGAAGATCTAATTAAATACCTGAAAGTTTTTTAGGAAGGTGTAGGGACTATCAAAGGCGCCAAGGCCACCTTGTGTGTTGACCAGGAAGCAATTCCACGATTTTCTAAGGCCTGCCCCCTTACAGGCAAAAGTAGAGGCAGAAATCAGGAGGCTGGAAAGTGAAGGAATCATCAAACCAGACCAATTTGTGGAATGGGCAGCAACGATTGTACCGATTGTGAAGCCTGATGGATCAGCTCGACTTTTTGGGGATTTTAAACAAAGAGTAAACCAATGTCACAGCTGGATAAATACCCAATCCCTCACACAGAGGACTTGTACGCAAAAGCTGGAAGGGTCACTATCCTTCACGAAGCAGGACATGAGGCATGTATACTTGCAATTGCGGATTAGATGAGGATTCCCAGAAGTATCCTACAATTAATACCCATAACGATTTGTTCCAATATACGAGACTGCAATTTGGGGTATCATCAGTCTGTACAGTTTTTCAGCAGGTGATGGAGAACATTTTACAAGGTATACCCCAGGTCGCCATTTATCTAGATGATGTGCTAATAACGCAGAAGACCAATAAAGAGCACTTGGAGAACTTGGATGTAGTCCGTGGATGTTTCTCCCAGGCAGGCATACACCTTAGAAGGGAAAAAACGTGTGCTGCAGGCATCCCAAAGTGACTTGGGCTATACAGTCAGCAAGACTGGGTTACACCTGTTGGAACATAAAGTAAGGGCAATCAAACGTTCCCCAGCTCCGGTGTCTAGACTGGATCTCAGGTCTTTCCTTGGGTTGGTGAACCATATTGGAAAATTCATTCATAGCCTGGCCTCCATTCTGGCACCTTTGCATCAACTCCTAAAAAAGGGTCAGCTTTGGAAATGGTTGTATAGCCAAGCCATAGCTTTCAGGAGAGTGAGGAAACAGCTATCATCCTCCAAGGTGTTGGCACATAATGATCCCAAGTGAGATCTGGTACTGACATGCGATGCTTTCTCATACTGCATCGGGGTAGTATTAGCTTATAGGTGGCCCAATGGAGAGGAATGCCCAATACCATATGCATCGAGGACTTTTGCTAATGCGGAGCATAAAAATCCACCAATACCTTTATAGACATAAGTTTGTAATAATAATGGACCACAAATACCTGCTAGGTCTACTTAAAGAGGACAAGGTAGTGTCACCCGTACCTTCAGGCCAAATTCAGCAGTGGGCCCTCATTCTAAGTGCATATAGTCACAAGCTGGAACACCATTTCGGGAGGCCAAGTAGCAAATGCGGAGCCTTCAAGTCATCTTCCACTGGCAGATACACCACCGGTGGTACCGCCACTGGAAGAATCCGTAACGGTTTTAAATTTTCTGCACAAACTTCCAGTCACAGCTGATAATATCAGACTTTGGACGCAGAAAGGTCCAGTCCTGGCAAAACTGAAACAAAGGGCTGCCACAAGCAGAATTAAACCTTTTTGGACCCAGAGAGACCAGATCACAGTAGACGACAGCATATTATTATGGGGTGCAAGAGTGAATGCCCCAGAGGATGTCGTTAGGCACTGGCTGAACTCTATCAGGGTCATCCAGGGGTTTCCAAAATGAAGATGTTGATGAGGGGTTATTTCTGGGATCTAGGATTGGATGCAGACATAGCTGTGTTGGTGGGGCAGTGCCCAGAGTGCCAACAAAACAAATTACCGCCAGCATCTCCCCCACGTTCGTGGGACTGGCCGGGTAAACCCTGGACTCGGTGACACGTCGACTATGCAGGTCCATTCATGGGCTCAATGCTCTTAGTCATTGTGGATGCCCATTCAGAATGGTTGGACATGCATAGAGATATCAAGGTGTACAGCTGGATGAACACAGCAGGCCAAGCAGCATCAGAGGAGCAGGAAGGCTGATGTTTTGGGCCTAGACCCTTCTTCACTTTTGATGTAGTGAAGCTATAGCTTCACTAGATACTAAGCTGTCCTGGTTCCGATTTGACTACATGACCGCCCCTTCATGTAACCACAGGGATAGGTCCAGCAGAGTTATTAATTGGGAGAAGAGTCCACACCAGGTTAAAACTGACCTTCCCAGACCTGGACGGGGGGATTGAAACAGTGTCAGCAATACCAATGTCAGACACAAGAACCCCCTAAGCAAGTGAGACACTTTACTTCAGGGGACAAAGTTTGCTGTAGGAACCATGGGAATTGCCCTGCAAGGATGGGAGGCATGGTCAGTGCAAGATCAGGCCCAGTGACATAGAAAGTTCAGGTAGGTGCAACAGTCCTGAACAAGGAAGTGGACCATATGAAAGCTGCAAACTTGCAAACGGTGTGGGAACAAAATGTGCCTGGCTCCTTGACTGCCTTTTTGACTGTTCTGGAACCCGTGGGTTCTCTCTCTCTGTGAAGTGTTGAAGATATCTCAGAATCTGAGATGGACATGGGTGGATGTCGCCGCTTCACACCTTTGCCACCCAAAGAGGAGAATAAATTTCTTCCAAGACGCTCCGGGAGCAAGAAGTGAGCTACTGAGAGTTACACCTGTATCAGAGGCAGAGCTGGAAGAACCTAACCAGTGCTAAAATGCTCCAGGAGGAGCTGCAAAAAAAAAAAGAACCAGCCTATATCCTCAAACTCAGAGGGGGAGGGATGTAGTGATTGTAATGAGGTGGACCTCACAGAATACAAGTTTCCTGATTGGGGCTGTTAATCTGGTTGAATCAGGGAGCCCTGGCTGACAGTTATAAATAGGAGTGTCAGAGAATCTGCTCACTCAGAGCTGGCTTTGAGGAAGCTAGACTAGTGCCAAGTGCTATGCACTTGTAAATAAAGGGTGATTTGGTGATTCTGCGGAGTTATTTCAGTTAGGGGTAGTCTGGGGTGGGAGGACAGTAGTGGAAAAGGCACAAAACATGTTCTTAGCTTCTATTAGAAAAATGAATTGAAGTTTCTCTAAGCTGAAAACTAACAAAAATATGTCAACAATGTTCCATTTTTGCGATCCAGACTAATGATCCCGTACTTATTTTTACATATATGGTACTCAGACCGGCTCCAATCTCCACACTGATCCATTCCAGCTTTGGATTTCCCTCCTTTGGTCACACCTGCTTTTTGGTGCAGGAGGCATATCAGGTGCAATCAAAGCTTTGTGGAAGTTGGCGGAAGAGGTGGGCACTCAGTGTTACCAGCTCCCAGCCCAACCTGTGGCTCATTCTCAAGGTGGGAGTGCACTGGAAGGACTGTGGATTTTCAGGCCCATTACCCCTTACATTAAACAGATTATAACATAAGCTATTGACACTGACCTGTTCCTTGTGCTGAGACTGAATTTTCTTGAGGTGTTCCCTGTGTTCCTCGATGAGACGCTCTTTTTCTGCAGCATGATGAGCCTTCAGTCTTTCTTCAAGATCTAGGATCTCCTTTTGTTGTTGCAGATGTAGCCTCTGTAGCTCGTTCTCAAACCTCCTCTCCAGCTCCTCCTTCTCCTTTTGCAGCTTTTCACATCGTGTTGTATTAAGGGCTGAAACAAACAGTACAACAAACTGAAATTACTGAAGATTTGAGATAACAAGGTGTGGAGCTGGATGAACACAG